GTAAATTCTGTTTACAGTTAGTTTGACGAAGTAAATGCTAGTGTTAAAAATGCCTTTTGAAACTGTAAGTAATTTGAAACAAGCATGCTTAGCAGAGATGAAAATCTTAGCCAGGTGCAAATATAAAATCATGACTACCAGGAGATATCTGTAATTACAGCTGTTTAACAAGACTTGTCACTGACTTTGGCAGGAAAAATAGAAACTCCTTCTAGTCAGATTTACACAAACCCAAAGCCATCATTTACCACTAACATAGTACGTGAGTTCAGACTGAAATGATCAATGATTTGGTTGTTATGCCCTTGAAGGACCAGGCATTCATTTTTATGCAAAGGAAAGCATTCTGTTTTCATGGCCAAGATTCTGTTTCACAGACATTTACCAAGTAAATACTTCCCATAAAGGAACAACTCTCTTTGTCACAGTAAAACTTAACATTTTACCAATTCCATTGTATTCCCCCCCAGAATAGACTGTAAAACTCACAGAAAATGAGTATTAAAAAAAATCATTCTTAGAGATGATTTAGGATTAAAAAATGACAATTTTTGATAGTCTTTAGTTTCAAGGTTCGTTGGATGGGGCACACACATCCTTTCCAAGATGCTCATCCTGTCTCAAGCCACTGCTTCATTAAAGGACTATTATTAGCTCTCAGATGACAGAATGGAATCCCCAAACAGGAAGGGAAGATCTCAGCCTCCAGTCTTCCAGGGCAGGCTGGGCAATCTCAGCAAGCAACTTCTTATTTTAACAAGGTCTCTACACTGAACGTTGTGGAAATCCAAGGGACACTAAACATTCCCCTTACCTATTACTATATATATACACAGTGAAAAATAAAGTCTCAAAATCTTTCTAAAGAGCTACTTAATGTTACGTCTACTTTCTAAAATGATAAACTTCAATCATCTTTATCTTCCTCCAGAAAGACTCCAACTGCAATTCTGCTATTACAAGTCACTGCTATTTATATCTGCATGACTCGATCCTTCTAAGTAAGGTAGTTTTGCCACTGACATTTGCATTTTGCCTTATTTCCTTCATCTCAGCACAGCAAGTGGGAAGAAAGCTGAAACTGATCTTGTTAAACAAAGCAGTGATCTGTGTACGTGGAATACGCTGGTTATTCAGTGCTGAAATCACCATCAGTGGAGAGAACTGGCAACCTTGAAAATGGCATTTAACAAGAACACTAATGGTAGCTCATCCTCAACAATCACCACCAACATACGGAGTGGAACATGTTCTATATACATACTCAGTTGCACAATTAAATGTATAAACCTATAGATTTTAAAAGAAAAGCATAGATGGAAACATAAATCCTTTTCACAGTAATTTCTCTGACTTCAAAGATCTTGGTTTCAGATAACCATCACTATTGTGCTTTCTGAAGAAGCAGATTTTTAGGAAAGACAAGTAACAAATCTTTCTCCTGCACCAAGCCAAATGTCTGTAAAAGTGGTTCATGAAACTTTAACCATAAAACATTTTAGATGATTTGCTATCTGTTTACTTAAGGTCCACTTTCAGGCAAGTACTCTAACAAAAAAGAGTTAACAGGTTATTTTGCTCCAAGCAAACTTCTAAGTGCATTCTGCTGGGAGATTTTTGGTGGGTTTTCACTGTTTGCTTTTTATATTGACCTCACCTATCAGTCCAAATTTTAGAATTAAATTAGGCTTTCTCATTTTTACCTTTTTCCCCCCCTCCTTTTGACATATAACTTCTGAGTTTCTAAAGGCAGACATTCATACAAACAAGGCATATTCCTCTCTTTAATAGCAGTTACTTTCAAACAGGAAAAAGAAATATTTCTAGAGTGAAAACTTCTCTCCAGAAAGTATCTTTAAGCACAGTGAATGCTTTCCATGAAAATGGTGCAAAAGAGAAGAATTCCACACATGCACCAGTGTGCAGAGAGTTTGCCCCAAGCAGTACAAATCAAAGGCCACTGTAATGCACAAGAAGTTTCCAATGTCCTTATTAATTTTGAAATCAAGCCTGTGTGCTGAAAATCAAAACAAAATAACCAATATGACCCTACTGAAGAGCTGCAGACCTGTTGCCAGGAATGGCTACTCTACGCTCTGGATCAGGTTTATTTACCCTCTAAATCCAAAGAAATTGAGAGGCTTCTGAGACAATATTCTGAGCTGATGCTTAAGGAAACCAAGACAACTTCATAGTGGATGACTACTGCACTTTTCTTGCTGCCATATATGGTTCCAGCTATTTGCTTTGAGTTTCCATCAGCTTCTCCCAATCAGCTGGGAACAGCTGGATTAGAAAATACAATCAAGCTGCCTCCCCAACTGCAACACAATTAATACTTTTGTTGCTATCACCATGGATGTTTCCCAGAATAAATAAATCAGTTGCCAAGACCTTCTACAAGCTTCCTCATCACTGCAGAGTTTAGTGATTGGGCTCAAAACATTCCTTCCTCCACTGCATGCAGCAGCAGAGACTGTGTGTGTTGAAGGGCACAGAGGAGTCACATAAGCATCCTGGCACAGCAAACATCCTGTCAAGGTGCTCCAGCTAGTGTCCTTTGGAGCCCTTTCTCATGCCAAGGTGACATGGAACCTTAGCAGCAGAGCCATGAAGAAAGGTCAAACTGAGCTGCCACCTCCGTGCATTTGAAGTGGAAGCAGGTTAATCTTTGGGATTTTGGGAATGTTGAAGCCAAAACGAGGCAACTCACTGCCAATTATTCAACGTGGGATCTTTTATCCTGTGTCGAAATGAAGCAATATGAAAGCGGACAGAAGTGCTTGAATTATTTGGGATTATCACCCAAGTCCTTGAATGAGAGTTCAGCACTGCTGTCAAGAAGAACAATGAATTTTGGAGCACTTTAACTTCAAAGAGGTGCCATTAAAATTGGATGATTTTAAGACAGGAGTTCAAAATGTGTGGCTCTATTTTTATATTTCAGCATCTTATCAGGCAAGACAGCTTTCTTTTCAAAGAAAGCATTTAGGGAATCAGGCCCACTCTTCAGTGTGCTCATGCTTTCATATATTTAAAACATTTATGGCAGGCAAAATCCAATTAAAACCGGCAAAGACTTGCTCTCTGCTTGCACAATACTCTTCATTTAGTGTATTTTCCTAGATACTACTTGCTTGCTTTCAAATGTTGCATGTAAGACACTTATGGTTCTGATTCTGATTCTGGATTTCAAATTTAGATATTAAATACTTTTGAACAGAGAAAAGCATACATGGTATATTTAGACTTAAAAGTGCCCATGTCTCCTGTACAATTTCATTACAATATCACTGAAATTATTACTGTAGCTTTATAAGACAGGTCTATTCACTTTACTACAACATACTTACTCTATTTCCCACTTTGCAAAATGCAGCTCCTTAAAGGCCCTGATTAAATGAAAGGATATTTCAGTTGTGCTACATTTTGTCAGCAATTATACCAAAGATCTGTGCTTATCTATTAAACCAGAAAAGGTGATTTAAAGAACTTTACATACATTTCTGTCTGAAAATGTGTGGAAATAAAAAAATATAGGAGTAAGAATTGCTCAAATGACCAGTAGTAACTTTGCTTTTTGAAATGAGAGTCAAACAGAGAAGTCTTTGCCGCAGCTAAAAAGAAACTACTTGACCAGGAATATTTCACCAGTCAGATCTGTGATACTATATGCCTAAGTATTTATGTTCTCAAGGAACTTGTTCAGATGTACAAATGGCAGCATAAATCTGGTTTAATCCTAGTGACTTTATTTATCCATTCAGCCTCTGTTGCTGTTTGGGTTCTGTCTGGATTTGCTTTGCTTGGTGCATATGCATTTTCATAGAATCATAGAATGGTTTGAGTTGGAAGGGATCTTAAAGATCATCCAGTTCCAACTCCCCTTCCATGGGCAGGGACACTCACTACATCAGGTTACTCAGAGCTCCATCCAGTCTGGCCTTGAACTCACCCAGGGGTAGTGCATCCACAAATTCTCTGGGCAACTTGTATCAGCACCTTGCACTTGGCCTTGTTAAATCTTGGGAGATCCCCATGGGCTACTTCTTGAGCTTGTCCAGGTCCCTCTGGATGGCATCCTGTCCCTCAGGTGTGGCAACCACACCACTCAGCTTGGTGTCATCTGCAAATTTGCTGAGGGTGCACTTGATTCCTTCATCTATGTCATTAATGAAGATATTTAATAACACTGGTACCAATACAGACCCTTTATGACACCAATTTTCACTGATGTCCATTGGAACTCTGAGTCATTGACCACTACCCTCTAGGTACAACTGTACAACCACTTTCTTATCCATCTAACAATCCACCCATCTAATTCATATCTCTCTAATTTAGAGAGAAGGATGTTGTGGAGAACCATATCAAAGACTTCAGAGAAGTCCAGATAAATGACCTCTGTAACCCTTCCCTTGTCCGCTGAGGTAGTCACTGCATCACAGAAGACCACTAGGTTGGTCAGGCAGAACTTGCCCTTGGTGAAGCTGTGCTGGCTGTGCTGAATCACCTCCTTGTTCTCCATGTGCTTCTAGAAGGATCTGTTCCGTGATCTTCCCAGACACAGAGATGAGACTGACAGGTTGGCAATTCCCATGGTCCTCCTTTTTACCCTTTTTAAAGGTGAGTACAATGTTTCTCTTTGGCCAGTCACCTGGAACTTTACCAGACTGCCATGAATTTTTAAATACCATGGAGAGTGGCTTTGCAAATACAACAAACAAATCCCTCAGGAGTCTGGGGT